TCTTTTTCCTGGGAAATAACTAGGTGAGATCTTTTACTCCATCCCAGGCACATTAGGACGCCACCTCATTAGCAATCAGAGCTCCTGAATTCCTACGCTGACAACACTCAACTGTTTGACTATGGGCAAATTGAAGGTTCTCTCTGGGCTGAAAACTGTGATTCTAAGATATGAAGACATGAAGCATGTACATCTCATGTTGTTATGGTCCTATGCCTGAGCACCCACTAACACCAAACTTTCTTTCCATGACTCAACAAAACTCAAATTCCCTGCCATCGGGTCCTTGGGGAGTCCTGGTAGCATAGAGGTCTATGAGTTGGGCTGTGAACTGCAAGGTCAGCAGTTTGAAACTACTAGCTGTTCCACAAGAGAAAGAAGAGGTTTTTTATTCCCATAAAGAATTACAGTTCTGGAAGCTCACAGGGTAGTTCTACCCCGCCCTCTAGGGTTGCTGTGAGCCTTACATGATGGTACTATGTAATCCAAAACTTCTTCCAGCAGGCTCACTTGACCACAGGAGCAGTGTATCACATAAAATACTTGTAGCCCTAAATCTGTTGAGGTGTTCAAAAATGTAATCTGCCCTTATTAAGCTTCTAGAATATATTAAGAGCTCTCGAGTGATACAAGCAGTTCAGTATTTGAATCCACCAAGACTGCCTGGGAAGGCAAGCCTAACTAGCTGCTTAAACCCACCAAGCAGTTCTATTTTCCTGGTGAGTCCAAACAGGTGCTACAATAAATAGCAACAGCAAGAGAATATTAAGCAATAATTAATCAGTACAGATTGAACCTTAAAATAATGACAACAAAAATCTTTACAACTGGACCAATAAACCATATCGTGATAAATGGAGAAAACATTGAAGTTATCAAGGTTATAATACTATTTGGATTCTTAATATCTTTGGGAGCAGTAGTTCCGAAGTCAAAAGGCATACTGCACTGGACAAATCTGTTGCAAATGATCTCTTCAGAGTGTTCAGAAGTGAAGATGTATGCTTGATTCAAGCCCAAGTATTTTCAATCACCCCATCTGCATGCAAAAGCTGGACAATGAATAAGGAAGACAGGAGAATTGATGCCTTTGGATTATGGTGTTGGTGAAAAGCACTTAAAGTACACGATCTGCGGCCATACAAGGACGGAAGAACAAACAGAGCAGTCTTGACCCACAGTCAGAATGTTCCTTACAAGTAAGGATGAAGAGATTTGGTCGTGCATACTCCAGACATGACATCAAGAGGCATCAATCTTTGGTGAAAGAACATCATGCTTGGCAAAGCGGAGGGTCAGCGCAAAGAGGGACTACTCAATGAGACGAGTTGACAGTGCTGCAACAATGGGCTCACACGGGCAATGCTTGTGGGGACTGCGTAGCACTGGGTGGTGGTTCACTCTTGAACATCATAGGGTCACTCTATGTCAGAACCAACTTCCGTCCAACTACAACACTGGCTGTTCTCTCACACTTGAAAAGAAAATAACACTGTTATACACATCTAGGAGATGGAGATAATGGTCAAGTAACTCTTATCCCTAAATATACCTTATAAACTGCTTTTTCTAAATATATACTCATCTTACAAGTGACTATGTGCGTAGTCTGTGTAGGGTGGTTGATGTTTTGGTATCTAATGTTTTTCTCTTTTATTTGTTTATTATTATGATTAAATACTTTTACTGGGGGCTCTTACATCTCTTATCACAATCCATCCATTCATGCAGTGTGTCAAGCACATTTGCACATATGCTGCCATCATCATTTTCAAAACATTCTCTTCCCACTTGAGGCTGATATCAGCTCCCCATTTCTTCCCCCTCCCTCCCCCACCAACCCTCCCTAACAAACCCTTGATAAGTTATAGATTATTATTTTCATATCTTACATCGTCCACCGTCGCCCCTCACCTACTTTTCCATTGTTCGTCCCCGAGAGGGGGTTGGTTATAGGTTGATCCTTGTGATCGATTCTCCCTTTCTCCCCCTCCCCTCCCTAATCCTCCTGGTATCGCTACACTCCTTGTTGGTCCTGGGGGGTTTATCTATCCTAGATTCCTTGTGTTGTGGGCTCTTATCTGTAGCCACGTGCATGTTCTAGTCTAATCCGAATTGTAAGGTAGAATTGAGGTCATGATAGTGG